GCGGCCACGACTGAAAAATCGATTTTGCCCAAATTTTGCCCAGATATATCTTATTATATCGGAAAATGCACCACATATTTTTTTAGGTCAAATGCTTTTTTAACTTTGAGAAAATGCTGTTTTAACACGACCACCCTAAATCGCCATTTTGTCTGGGAAAATATGCGCTGATTTTACCGACAAATTTCACGACGACAACCGTTTCTAATCGATCTAAAACCCTAAAAATCTTGTTTTCGGTTATTCAAAGGACGGTATACATGACTTACAGGAAATCTGCGTTACTTTTAGGAATAGATATAATCGTAGTTTTGGAGCACACTATCTTACTTCATTTACGATACCCTCTTAACAAAACCGATTTTCACCATGCGATAAAGCTCCAAATCGATCATGCTTCTACTAGTTGGCTCTTTAATAAGCAAGCTTTCAATTGACGTAAATACTTCTTTTGGCAAATGAATACGCGATAAACGACAGCGCGTTGAAATCTTCCGTTTTTGACGTCTTGCAAGTCAAACGCTGTTAATTTACATACCGTCGAAGTAAACAATTTAATCAAGTATTTTAAGTATTTTACCTTTTGAGAAGAAGATATATTCTTGAATGAAGACTTTTTGCCTTGCTTAGTTTAAAATTGGTCCAAAAATCCCGAGATATTTGTAAAATATCATCATATACAGGTATTTTGAAATATAATATTGTTGTCAGTTGCATAACAACTTCAACTAACTTCAGATCATTGTTCAATATTGTCTACTTTTAATAGCGCAAACATACAAATCGATGAGCTGTTTAGGGATTTTATATTTGTTACTAAATTTCCCAAAATTAGAACTTCAATTGACAATTGTTGTTTTGTTCCAGTTTGCATTGATCCATATAATGTACCATTTAGTATTTACATATCGACTATCGAGTATAAATGTTTACGAATACATAAGTTAATTATTAAGCATCCGTTAATAGCGTGCGTGTGAAATGAACATTTTAATATCCATACAAGGATTTGTTATTTTATTATATATTCTACCACCTCAAACTCAAATTATAGGCATATAGCAAGTAGTGTAGTTTAGAATAATGTGTGTTTACTTTGATGCACAGTTAAAATAATCAGTAAAATTACTTTATTTTGATACACTAATGTCTATATTGATCTTATTATATTTCACAAGTACTAGTACCCAAAACTACAGCTTTGAGATATGTTGGCACAGTGCGACACCACAAATTATTATTGTAATATTGTCTCCCCACACGTCGCGTTTAAAGAAAATGAAAGCTTGTTGCTCGTTTAACGCCGGATAAACCAAGTGTCAAATACGGCAAATGCCGTGGGCCTCGCGCTTTACTGTGCTACGCCCATTTTTACGAGAACACGGCCATTTTCTATTGGGACACACCCATTCTAGGTGCCTCGCGAATTTAGGGACCTCGCGCATTTAGGGCCCCTAGGCTTGGCAGTTCGCCCTAGCACGGCCCCGGGAAAATATGCAATACTCGTGTTCATATAATCTTTAGTTGCGTTGAGCTGTTATACAGTATTATGATCCTGTTTATACCCACCAAATGCGCCAGGCAGGCCAATTATCTCGTTTATAATTAATGCAAATAAATTGAAATATTGAAAAAAATTATTTAACACTTTTGTGTGTCTTTAAATTCAATGGTTTTCATAAAAAGAAGAAAGGGGGGGCCTCGCGCAATGTTAATCCGGCCCTGGTCACTTGTCGGTAGTTCTTGCGGTTTTGATGCCAATTGACAAAGATCAAAAGAGAGCACTGATGACTCCCCCCGTCGGAGAAATACTGGCGCAGTCCAAACCAGCTCAGTGAAATATGGGGCTCCAGGGCCAATTATACCCTTGGGGCCCCGGTGAACCACAATTACACCTCTCCGTCGACAAACTTTTTATCGCCTTGCAAATTTGTATTTACCTGTCTTCCTTGACCTGGAGTCGCGGAGAAAATTGCTCCTTTTGCCGCCTCCCTGCATGGGCGGCCCTGGCGCCGCCCTTGTCTTATCATAACTATCTACCCTAATTCAAGCTGATTGGCGCGGCTCGATGAATTAATTGCCGCTTTCAAACAGAGGTTTATTATTTTAAACCTCTAGAACCAGAGTACCTTTTGTCACTCTGAGGCCAGCGAAATAACCTCTTCCGCAACATGCACGTACGCGTCTACTATCGTCAAGAAACAATCAATACGTATAATCGTTGTGGTCTGTGGGATTTTAATTCAATAGTGTAAACCTTGCAGTTTTAGGGAAGCCTCACATATCGATTTTTTCCACAAGAAACGTCTATGTTCGTTTTGGGGGTGGGGGAGGGGGGTTTACAGCTGTGACGTTTCTCTGTAAATATCATGGAAAAGTTCGATAGTTTTTTCGAATACCTTAACATTTCGGAATCAACTTTGCAGAGTATAAAAAAAAACCCAACTTGAAAGGAAACGACTATTCAAATATAAGGGCTGGTAAACTAAAAATAAAAACTCCTTATATGGATAAACATTATAAACGTTCATTTCACATGTACACGCACGCTAACAGCTGCTTAATAATTAACTTTCGTATTTGTAAACATCAGTCGATAAATAAAATGGTACATTAATATGGACAAAATGGATCAAAACCTCTGAAAACAGCAGTTGTAGTTCCAATTCTTTTGGGGAATTTAGTAGCAAATATAATCCTTAAATAGCTCATCGATTTGTATATGTTAGCGCTAAAGTCAAACGGCCGGGTCGTAGATCATGTTGAATAATGATCTGAAGTTATCATGCAACCGTCAACAATGTCTCAAAATACTGGATGTTTGATTTTTTTTTACAAATATACCGGGATTTCTGGACCACTTTTAAACTTAGCAAAGCGAAAAGTCCCCATTCAAGAATATGTTTTTTCTCAAAAGGTAAAATACTTAGAATACTTCATTAAATTGTTTACTTCGACGGTGTATAAATTAACAGCGTTTGACTTGTAAGACGTCAAAAACGGAAGATTTCAACGCGCTGTCGTTTATCGCGTATTTATTTGCCAAAAGAAGTATTTACGTAAATTGAAAGCCTGTTTATTAAAGAGCCAACTAGTTGAAGCATGATCGATTTGGAGCTTTATCGCATGGTGAAAATCGATTTTGTTAAGAGGGCATCGTAAATGAAGTAAGATAGTGTGCTCCAAAACTACGATTATTTCTATTCCTAAAAGTAACTCAGATTTCCTGTAAGTCATGTACACAGTCCTTTGAATAACCGAAAACAAGATTTTTAGGGTTTTAGGTCGAGTAGAAACGGTTGTCGTTTGATTTTTGTGGACATCCTCTCTTAAGAACATGAGTGATGAACTCGAAGACTTTTCCTTTAACAAGCCGGATGTTACAGCCAGCAGCTGGCTGACTCATTTTGAATCTCTGCACACAAAACACACAATATATAGGCCCTGAACAGATTAATATCTTACAAATGCTTGAAACTCTTGAAATGGAACCCACAAATAATTTACTCGATGTACCTATTTCAGCATACGAAATTATCAACGCTGCGAGGAAATTAAAAAACTGCAAATCCGCGTACTCTGTTAAAATAAGAAACGAAATGCTCAAATGCAGTACAAACATACTGTTACAAGGATACAAAAAACTTTTTAACCTCATACTAGAAACTGGTAGCTTCCCAGATCAATGGTGTGAAGGTCTGATTACGCCAATCTTTAAGTCTGGTGATAAAACTAACCCCAACAACTACAGAGGAATTTGTGTGACAAGCTGTTTGAGCAAATTCTTCTGTATTATCCCTGATGACCGCCTAAGCAATTTTAGTTACCAACAAAGCTTTATAATACATCCATCGCAAATTGGATTTCAGTCTGGCCACCGAACTGCAGACCATATCTTTACTTTGAAAACACTATTTTTTTATTCGTGGATTTTAAAGAAGCCTTTGACTCTATTTGGCACGAAGGTGTTTTTTTGAAATTACTTGAAAATAAAATTGATGGTCAGTTTTGTATACTAAGCCCCCTTTTTTTCAATATTTATATTAATGAAATAACGACCTTATTTAAAAACACCAATTCGGCCCCATTTACACTGCCTAACGGAACAGAACTGAGCTGTCTTCTTTACGCAGATGATCTAATTATACTATCTAAATCAAAATTCGGCCTCCAGAAGTGTCTCGATAAACTCCATAGCTGGAGTAAGAAGTGCATGACTATTGGAGGTAATTGGTAAACCCAAATTATGATTTTTAAAAAAAGGAAAACAGAAAAAGCAAAACCAATTTTCACACTAGGAAATGAAAAGATATCCGTTGTACAGGAATACTGTTACTTAGGCATAAAGCTTAATCACAATGGTAACTTTGCTTTGGCTATATATCAAACAGCTTAGTGAAAAGCCCTACATGCGCTCTATAGCATCAGAAGACGGCTTAACCTACACCAACTTAACCACAAATTTGCTATTAAAATTTTTAACAGCATAATAAGCCCCATTCTTCTGTACAATGCAGAAGTTTGGGGTGTATATATCAAAAACGATTTTAACAATTGGGATAAACTGCCGATTGAAAAAGTACACCTAAAATTCTGTAAGCTCTACTTGGGCGTTGACAGAAAGACGAGTAATATTGCCTCAAGAAGCGAACTTGGAGAATATCCATTAATTATCAACATATTCAAAAGAATCTTCAAGTACGTCACTAATCTTAACTTACTTCCTGAAACAACTATTTCAAAACAAGCTTTCCTCATATCAAAAGATTTATTTATTAAAAAGAGCAATTCTTGCTATGGGAAAGCAATGGATATAATGAAAACCTTAAATTGTAATAGAGCAATTCCCGACCTAGATTCACTCACAACCAATCTAGTTGAATCATGCTTTAAAGATACTAAAGAAAACTACAAGAGATTCTGGAGACATAAACTTGAAAACTCTTCCAAACTTACCTTCTACACAAGCATAAAGGAAGACTATGAGCTTGAAACTTATTTGACTGCCATAACTAATTCAAACCAAAGAAAACGTTTAATACAGCTCCGACTCAGTAAGCATAAACTAATGATTGAACTCGGTAGATACGAAAATATTCCGCGAGAAGACCGAATATGCAAGGTCTGCCAGGTAGGAGAAATTGAAACGGAACATCACTTCTTAACATCCTGTGAAGCCTATAGTAGTCTTCGATAAAACTTTTTAAATGACTTGGAAAGTGATCCCACCAATGAAACAGATTTAAACGAACACAGTTTATCAGTTGAGATAATGAAATCAACTGATAAAGAAACCGCGTGATAAAATTATAGAAATTTATCTCTTTATGTTTTAAGAAGAGATCTAAACGCCTTGAAGCTCGGAATGCTGACAGTCAATAGGCTATCTAACTAACTCCCAAACTTCTTCAATTACATATATACTGTAAATAGAGTATTCATTTGTAAACTAGGTTTGTCGTATTACCACAAAAGTACAAAACATTTTGCATTTGTAAATATTATAATTAACTTATAAGCTTTAGCAATACTTATATGTAAAGTCATGCTAATAAAGCCATTTGTTACTGTTACTGTCATCTATTAAATAAACTATACCAAATCTGTAGCTTTCAGATTATCATGTTCACATACCGTAAAAACAATTGATTTCAAAATAAATCGAGCAGAACACGAATATATGAATATACATCCCCCCCCCCCCCAATTATTGTGTAGATACGGCCCTGCTCCCTGCAGTGGGAGACACAATTATTTACAACTACTTCTCTCAGTCATAAAACAGCCCCGTTTCTTATATACTATAGATCTAGTATAACACCTCAGTACATGCCACAGATGCTCTTGATTACATTTCTAAAGAATAGTCATTATACATTAATTACATTTCCAAAGAATAGTCATTACATGCCACAGATGCACTCGACTACATTTCTAAAAAATAGTTTTGCATGTCACAGATGTACTTGACTACATTTCTATAAGGAACAGTTATTTTACATATTTTCTCTTAAAACCTTTATATCGGCGCCAATAGATCTCTTTAAATGACGTTAAATTCAATAATATTTAACCTTTAAGTCAATAATTTCGCACTGTCTTCTAGTTCAACAATGTACTGATTGTGCCGAGCGTAAACTCAACAGCACAATTTTTTGGGAAGATATTCACGGTTGCCGGGGCTATCCATACCAAAAATGGAAGACATCTGTAATGCCATAGATTTCAGCACCAAGTTGCTGAGCTGAACACGAAAACCAGAAAGGGAAAAAGGCTGGAACGTGTTTTCCATCCCATGCTGCAGCAACGCTTCTGGAGGTTAAAAGCAAATTGTTTCTTTCTTTATTGTCTTGTAAACTATTGACTTCCGTCATTTCACTGCAATGTTGCATTTCATAACCGAGCAATACCAAACCTGCAAGAAAACAAAAAACATGAAGCCAACAGCGAGTGGTAGGGAAACTGGCTAGATAACTTCCACACGTATTATACCACCCTTAAATACTCTACTTCTGTCCCACCTCACACCGGGGCCTCACGTGATGCTCACGTGTCGCCAAAATATTAATTTTTGTCTATTCATGAATAACATTCATTCGCCAGAAATGGAATATTTTCGATTTACGGGCAATGTACAAGCAATTCTTGTCTGTACGCGTACAATAATATTATGCATAAAATTAATATTCACAGACAAACCCCAACCATAACAAAAATAACTAAGCATTAAATCTTGATTAAATTCTTACTAGAAAATACATGCATGCAGAAACCCTCGCCTTGCTGACAAAACCATTGTATTTTCCGAACATGAAGTATCTAAAGTTGTTGTCATGGTAACACGATAATTTTTTAAGAATATTCTTACAAATGAAAAATCGCCTAAAAATATCACTTTTAATTACAAAATTATCAATTTCCCAACATATATATGTTAGGTATGTTATTATACGTAATATAAGCTTCAATTTAAGGTAAAATTCAACCACAAAAGCTTCGCAAAACGTTTTAAAATGTTCTTTATAAAACTATTAAAACTGCCTTTAATTATTAAAATGGCTTTATCGATAAACTTTGAGTTTGCAATAAAATGATTTCAAATTCTCGCATGCAAATAACTTTGCTTTCTTTTTTAGTTAAAAAATTCAATATAGACCTAATAAAAAAGGGAATCAATATTATTAATACACTGAAATTATATGCTGTCTTGTTTAGTTGTTTCATATACGCAAAGCCAAAGCAGGGTTCGTGCTGGTCTTGTAAAGTTAAATACAAGGAGTAATTAATTAAGGAGTTCCTAAGTACTAAAATACTACTTTTCAAGGAGTGTTTGAGATGTTTTCTTTCAAGGAAAATATACAAAATGGCGGGAATATCGAACCCAGATCAAGGGGAGGTCGCCAAAATAATTTTTCAGGAAAAAATTTTTCGGTACTAGTCGGGCACAATCACGAAAAGTCGGGCAATTAACTTTCCGCCCCCCTAAATTTTTCCTTCCGGTACGCCCATGAGGGGACGTGGTAATTCAATCATGTGAAATCGGGGACACATGAGAAAACCAGTTGAAAACCGTTGACCTATGGCAACTAACAAAAGTTAACACTATGGTTTCACTTACTATTTAGCAAAACATTTTAAGAATTCAAGGAGTATTTAAGGAGTTTTTTTAAAACTGCAAATTTTAAGAGCTTTTCAAGCGCCCTTGAAAAGTCCAAACTTATTCAAGTAGTATTTAAGGACTTTAAGGAGTAGCACGAACCCTGCAAAGGGCCAAAGCGGGCGCCGGGTTTTAAAGCAATTATAAAATCAATATTTAAAACAAACTTACCTTCGTTGACGTCGGCTCCCTTCTTTTAGCCGATTCTTTCGCCCTTTCTTTCTTGAAATTTACAAAATCTTGCAAAAATGCGAGCAAAAATTGCAAGAAATTTATCAATCATCAAATCAAGAAATGTTTGCTATTTCGCTGTAATCATACAGTCGACAGTCGTTATAATGCAAACAGGGACGCCGGAACGATAATAGGGCAAAGGGGGGCGGACGCACACCAAGGGCACCTTTACTGAAAATTTTTTTTTCACTGCAAAATTTTTTGGCGACCCCCCCCCGTCGCCAAAAAAATTTCGGTCAGTGTACCATTTTAGGGGTCAAAAATTTTTTCCGGACATACAAAAATTTTCCGTGAAACAAAAAATTTTTCCGGATATCTTAAATTTTCGCCATTTCTTCAAAATATTTTTCTAAATTCCAAAAATTTCCCAAAATTTTTAGAAATATAAACTATAAATTACCTGAATCTCATCATTTTCCTACAAAAAGCATCGTTGGAAATGTGATTTATCACGTATTATTTTACAACTAAAAGGGCACTTCTGCCCCCCCTAGCAAAAGGCAGGGGGGGCAGCCGCCCCCCCTGCCCCCCAGTTCCGGCGTCCCTGAATGCAAACTTTAAATTGGACCAATCAGTGTCCGCTATTCATGACAGTCCGCCATATTTTTTAGATCAGTGAGGATGAACACCCACCGAACCACCGAACCACTCACGGTAACCCACGCCCGCGCTCATTGATGAACTTTAGACTTGGCTAATGCTTTCGTTTCCCCGGGTGTAGATACCCGGGGGGAATTAGTACCCTCGCACGGCGCTTCGCGCCGTCGGCTCGGGGATAAATGAGTCAATTTTTATCGGCATGCAATATTTATTTGTAGCATGTTGACATTACACATATGCACAATGATAATTTGTAGGCGCATATCGAAAATTGTTAAATATCTCAAGAACGAAGCAAGCTAAGCATATAGTTTGGCATATAGTATCTTATTTGGTCATTTTGCTACCCAATCATAAAAAAATGGTGTTCAATTTTGTTGCATAAATACTTTAATAATTAAGCCAATAAGAGTAACCTAAGTTAAGCTAAGCTAGAGCCAGGACTATAGGGGTGCAATGTTAGCAATGCTTTTGAATCATTGTTCTTGGCGGAATTCCGGCGCGATTTTCAAGCTGTTATTTCGAGCTTGTTATTTCTCCAGATGATGACTGTGGGTGAAGTTGAAACCCAGTAAATACAGAGAATTAAAATGTAATTAGCTGAAGCCTTCCATAGAAGATTTTTCATTTAGCCCTATGCCCTCTATCATTCATCATGTTTATGATCCGCGGCACTGCGAAACTTTGACGGAATAAGTAGACAGATTGAATTACGCGTTCCTGTTTCAGCGCGATAAATCACACAACAATACACAAATGTTGTTAAACTATCCGAAGATTTCCAGATAAAAATTGCTCATTTCACTATATATAATATCATGACGTTTGCAACACTTCTCAGCGCCGTTCTTATATTTTGTTTATTAAGTGACGTCTTAGGTAAGTTAAAATACGGTTTAATTAAACTTCGCTATACATCTTTTTAATACAGTATAGTACATATACTGTATATTCAGTTATAGCAATTAGACACGAATATTGATACAAAATGCGATTTTGCGCAAAAGTAAATTCTTAATACATATAGATCTCAAGAATATACATATACTTCACTACTTATCCAGTATTAATTATGCATGTGGCCAAAGTAATGCAAGACGTCCACTTGCGAAAACTCACGGACATTACTGCATGACTACCTTACTAATATGCATACTTACACTGTTTGACATTGAAATATGAGTTCAAGTGTAAACAGCATTAAATTTGTAGTAGGCGACTTGTTGTAAATCGCAAATTTTGAGAAGGTTGGTCGGCACTTAGGCCTACACCTTGCCGAAATCGTTGGTTGTGAAACAGACTCGCGCGAAGTATTATATTTACTGCAATATTGGCTGCTTTCCTATTTTTGTACAAAGGTTGGTTTATAACTATATTTCCGAGTGTCTATATTTATCATCACGTAAAAAATATAGCACTGGGAATATACTAAAATGCAAGAGGTATATAGCTACATCAAACGACGCCAATCGAGGGACTTTGTTTTGCGAGTACCGATTTCAAAAAATTGCAAATTATACCTGCCTTATTCTCAAATTTTACCATTTACAACACACCTTAAACAATAGTCAATACGCCATTTTGGAGTTCACGACGCCATCTTGCCGAGTGGGGAAACACATTAGAGATCTTGCTAGATCTTGCTTTGCGTAATACGTCAAACGGCAACCGCCTGCAGGCAAAGAAGATTTTTACCGTATCAGGCAATAAAGATAATAAAATGTAAATGGTAAATGATCTTGCTGTTTTGAAACTGCAATGCATGATTATTCTTTCGACACAAGAGTTTAATTAAACAAATTAGACAAAATCCAACGTGAACACGGCTTAAATTAATAAGTATAGTTAGGGCTTGCTTTTAGGTTTAATTTTTTTTGGTGTTAAGTTTGTTATTACTGCTGTTGTTATGGTTGTTCTTCGTTGTAGTTGTTACTGTTAATTGTTGCTGTTTTTGTTGTTGTATTTTTGCCGTTGTTGTTGTTGCTGTTCTTGTTGTTGTATTGTTGCCATTGTTGTTACAGTGAATTCTTGTTGTTGATGTCGCTGTTGCTGTCCTTTGTCTCATTGTCTTTGAATCTGGACCAGATCATCTGATTCTAAAATATTTACAATTTTAGCTTTATGCCCGTCCTTACCACAACCATCTAACAGTGATATATCAAGCAGAAGTCGAACAGATGGTTCTTATGTTCATTTTCGCTGCTTTTCTGGTCATCAACTGGTTGGTTCATCTACACTAGTGTGCAATGATGGTCGATGGTCAGACCAAATACCTAAATGCCTAGGTACGTTTTCAAGTGATACGAAAATTAGCATAAGGCCTCGGTCAAACAAGGATGAGAGTTGCACGAGAACTAGCTAACCTTCCAACAATAGTTACATCAGAGTTATCTGAATTTTAGGGCTGCATAAGTCAAACGCGGGCAAAAGACAACTCTCATAAACCTGCAAAAGCGTTCAGTCTTTCTTGATGGCGTATATAAAAAAGGTGTTGGCCAAACTGCAGAATATTAGTTAAAGGTATTTTCGTAACTGGGGCGAGCAACATGCGAGCTTGAGAAACACCAAGTCCTCCACCAGTCCAGCCCCCTCTACCAAATACCTTATCCATTAGACTAGAGATACAATATCTGTGTCTAATAAAGGTATATTTTGGATTTATTTACATAGGGAAGTTTTAATAATGTTCTTTTTGATTCTAAAGCCATATGCAATCCAATTCGAAGCATTGCCAATGGATGGGTTTACGGAAGGGGTGATTTAGAAGGAGATATGCTGAGAATTCGTTGCAGAACTGATTATATTTTGGACGGGGAGCGGCTTATCAAATGTACTGGGAATAGACGGTGGAATGCAACGAAGCCAACATGTAGAGGTTTGTATAGAGACCAGTACATGGGATGGTGGAAGGGATCCGGATGTTTTAGGAAAGGGGCGATAATCAGGATCCCGGCATGCATCTACTTGTATTGTAGACCATTTCAAATACCCATCTTGTATCGATCGCTCCAACGAGGCACCAGATAAAACTAAGTTCGGCATATGAGGGGGGAGGGGGGGGGGCAGAGAGAGCAGTTTATTATATTTATTATCATAACATGACCAGTTGTAGCTAGCTAAATTCTTAGTTGTATAAATGCATGAAGTTAGTTGTTAGTTATTTGCTGTTTGATGTTAACGTATTGTTCTTGGGTTCGCATGGGCAGTGATTGGCTAATCGCTGTTGCGAATACCCTGCCATAGTCTATTTAGTTCGTTAAATGTGTAATTACTACATTGTAATAACTGTTGGTTAAGACTACTGGTGAAGTGTTAATAAATTAAAAATTAAATTAATTGGCGTTTGAAACGAGCCACCGTGGAAGATCGCCAAAACTACTCCCAATCTGGTTAAACATATCCTTTCTGTCTGTAGCACCATGTGCAACGCTGGGGGCACCTGCTCATGGGAGAATTACACAAGAAGGTTTTAGACATAACGAAGATATCAAATTTGAATGTGATCCAGATTACTTCTTGCAAGGAAGAAACGTCGTAACATGTTCAGACGGAACGTGGAATGATGTTCCTCCAACCTGTTTAGGTAAGTATAGGAACGATCGGAAATTGGTTCCGGTTTTTTATCTGTTTGTTATTATATAGAGTTGTAATCAGAGGGACCACCTGAAAACCCCTCCCAGCACTCTTTGTACGTAATAGACTGCTTTGGCAAACACAACGCTACGTGAAAATGGCGTGCCATTTAGAATTTTACTTGCGGTTTAATCTAGGACGTTGTTGACGTTGTGCTTAGGACGGCAGTCAGGGTGTTTTCACGTCCTCTCTAGAACGTCACTATTTTAAGCTTGTTTTGGAAAAAAATATGAGAGTATGCACAACAAAAACCATCCTGTTTTGTTCCCCATATTTTCTTCAATATTTGTAGCTAAATATTGCTTTGATTGATAAGTTTGTGCCCTTTGTTTCTCGCTGAGTTTTGGACTCGTCGATTTTTGGCAACTACTTTCATAGGTAGCTCAGCAAATATAAATATTCACTTAAAAATGCATTAAACGCTTAAAAATACGTATAAAGTTGGTCTAACTTTGCTATCAAGCGATTTATTTTGTAGCTCATTATATATACAGATTCCGATGTTTCCGTCATTGTATTTTCATAAGGCCGACCGCCGGCAACTCTTTCACAAAGTACATTTACACACACTACTACGTTCAAAAACCAACAAAAACGTTAAGTCCATGATACACGGTGCAATGTTTCTTGCAACCTGCAATGCAATGGCTTGCGTTGCAAATTGCAAAGCAGATTGAATCGTTTAACACCCCTAGTTTGCAACTTGCAATGCAATAAAAATTGCATTGCAAGTTGCATGGAAAGTTGGACCGGCTTCTACTTTTTGCAATGCTGCGAGACAAGTTGCAGCGTCTAACACCCCCATCTGCAACTTGTCTCGCAATACTTAGGAAATTAGCCAATCAGACAGCTGCATAGCCTGCGATTAGGATGAATTTTTGGCAATTCAAAATGGCGGACTTATTGTTGAGCTTCGATCAAACCATGAACGAAGAAGAAAGAATGAAAATGAACCGGCAAATGACCAGATAAAGACAACAAAATTAACAAATTTTGACAAAATTGCCATTTTGGAGGCAGTGAAAAATTGTCCATTGTCTATGGAAGAGCGGTGAAAGTTGGGCAAAGAAAGACAAACAAGAATTCATGCTGGCGCGGGATTGCAAGTCGCAAAAGAAGTTGCACTCTTGTCTGACATGTCACGGC